TATTGTCACTCTTTTCTGCAAATTTTATGAGATGTTGAGTTCTACTGAACAATGGAACATCACATAAGAGACATGGATTGGTTGGATCACCTTTGCCATCAGAGAATAGTGCTGGAAATGCCATAGTAGCTAGAAATGGTGTTGAATATTCATTCAATGGTTCACTGTCCAACTCTGGCCAATCTATTTTATTGTTTAATAACACATTTTCAATTGCTTCTGATTCCAACTTATCATTTTTGTTATGTAGAATGAAACTACTTGTTTCTGTAGAGCTGTTCAAACCAAATCTTCAACATTTTGGTAATCTGTATAGTCTGTACACGCTCTTCACTTAATTCTACTGTTTTTAGATTGTGCGGAATGCCATTCTCTGGTAGAGATTCTAAAGCATGTGCATCAATTTTTAGGTCTTCGTATTGAGGATTGTTTTCAATCAACCATTTGAATGCTTGTTCAACATGCCTTCTTCTTACAGTTACGTACTTCAAGGCATTTCCCTCTTCCTTAACAGTTACAAGAGCTAAAGGTAAATCTTTAGGATAATAAGGCAATGTTTTAGCTAATGTACCTAGTTTTTGAGGCATATTTATACAATGTCCAGAATAAACACGTTGCCCACCTGGTTTTAGATAAACTCACATATAATAGGCAAAGCATGGGCAATCAGTATTTCTTCTATTTGAGTTAAATCTTGAAGCTGTCTTGGCACAGGTGATAGGATCATAAAGTTTTCTTTTGAGAATTTCCTTGGGAGTTTCTTTGTCCATGCTTCATCTTCTACATATGTAAAATTTCAATTTTGGTTTTGTATTAATGGGCCAAGCTTTGAAGCATATTGTGCATTGGAAAATTTCATACTTAATTGACCTATGGAAGTTATTTATATTTTGTTTTGCTACTGTGTCAAAGATATTGGAAGCAAGACGATTAGTTGAGCAACATACTTCAGTTTTAGCCTGCTTTGCTCTGTATATTACCATTGTTATTAATGAAACAAATGGGAATGGGGGTAAAAAGAAAACAAAAAGGTTTAAGCGGGTTGGCTTCAAGGAGATTGACAAATAAAATAAAACAAAGAGGTAGGATAGTTAGTTAATGATTGGTCAATTTTTGGAAATCCTGGTCCCTTTCCCAATTATTATAGAACTCAATGAATTAAATTAGTAATTGAAGTAATTGAATACAAGCAATTAGACTTGTCTGAAATTCCAAATGATCTTACATGCACACAAATGCTGCAACAATGGCATGTTCCTTGCAAGGATGAGTGTGATGAAGCAGTCCTCTATGAGGATATAAAATTTGTTAAAACATCATACGAGAAAGACACAAATAGCATAAAGCACAAAACATACAACTCAAGTTCCACCACCAATCCTACACCACACTTTGCTCGAGAAATTCAACCAGATGATATTAAAAAACTTTCTACTGCACTTAATAAGTCACAACCAAGCTACCTTAGTAAATTGTTGGAATCCAACATGATGTTTTAACAAATTTTATATCCTCATAGAGGACTGCTTCATCACACTCATCCTTGCGAGGAACATGCCATTGTTGCAGCATTTGTGTGCATGTAAGATCATTTGGAATTTCAGACAAGTCTAATTGCTTGTATTCAATTACTTGAAATATTAGGGCTACAATGTGTTTACATTGCCCCCCTTTGCCAGCCTTGCATGTGCAGTTACCGTATAAAATTTCCCCAGTGTCCTGATTCAGATGAACATACACAGTGTAGACATTTTTTCATAGCAGCATTCACACTTGCTTTGATTAGAAAACAGCATAACTGGTCTTTAAATACATTTGCTTTTACTTCTACATTTTTGACATATTTTTCCTTGAACAATCCATATCCCAATTTCTTGTGTTTGTAAACTCCACCTGGGTTATTTTCCACACTTAACTCAGTTCCTAAGTGCTTTTTTAAAAGTTCAAATGTAAATTCAGGAAGGAACTCTAAGTTCTTTGTCCACCTTTTCAGTGGTTTTTCTGTGTTGTTCCCTTCTGAAGTGGTTGGTTCATCCTCCATTATTGTTTCAAAATACTATATTCTTTTTATTTTATATATAATTTTCGAAAAGTTTGCCTAGGTCAAACAGCACTTATTTGTAGTTTTTGTTCGTAGTTTTCAACATCGGCAAAAAAGTAATTAAGTATTCAAACATTGCAAATTTCCCACCAAAACATTTAGTCTGTGTTTGAACAATATAAAGGCGAAATCGGTCAAATATTTTGCCAAGCATGATCATTTTCACAGAGTTTAAAAAGCAATACGAATTAGAAAGCAGGGCGCAAAATACAAAATCGGGAAAGGGAAAATGTCAAAGCTTATTCGTAAGTAAAAATTCTTGGGTGATCGCCGGTTATTTGGTAAACTCACCTGTTTTTCTTTGGAGAATGAGATATTTCAAGGCATAAATATGCGAAGAACGTCTTGTTGATGCCTCACTCGAACTCCTTTTTCCTCGTTTAGAATGGACCGATTTCGCTCAAAAATTTACCTCCGCTTCGTTTGAGACCTCTATGTTTATTTTAGGATTAAATAACTCATCGATTGTAAACAAGAAGCACTAAATATTGGTAAATATCTCATCAAATAATAATCGTTCGCTCATTACAGTCGCCATGTCGTTCGATTGCAAAGTGACGACTCCTACCATCATGCAAAGCGGGCTGCGCTAAAAGGCAAGTGGTCTATTAAATGACGAAAAAATTTAGCACACTTTGCAAAAATACAAAAAGGTGGTTTCGAAAAAAAATTTATTAGAAAAAGGAAAAGGGTGTATTGGACTCTGGGAAATGATGGCCCCAATGTTGGCAGTAAAAATAAAGGCAAGCAAAATGTGTTTTTTTTACAGTTTTGGAATAAAAGCAGAAAAATATCAACAATTTTGGAATACATTCGCAAAGGAAAATAATTTAGAATGGATTCATGTTAATAACAAATTTATTCAAAACATGTTTCCTGTAACATGCACGATGTGGAGTTTATTATATCTTTGGAATGAATCGTTATTTCTGGAGGAAAATGAAATATTTTTCGGTGTGAAGGGTAAAATTAAAAAAAAAGGAACGAGTAAGATATATCACAATCATCATCCTTTTATAAGTACATAGAAAAGAATTATTCATCATTGTTATTATCAAAAAATTGTCCCCTGCATTTCACCCCATCGTTTTTGTTCCTTTGTATCATTATCTAAATGAGAGAGAGAGCAAAACCATTCCTCTTCATTCTCATCAACCCTCATAAATTCCCAATTAATAAACGAGGATAATTTTTCAAATTCCAATTCAGCATGTTGATAAAGTTCTATTGCAATTGTTCGTGCAATTTGATAATTTGCCATAAAAGATATAAAGAACTCATCTGAACTTGCCATGACAAAACATGTTGGGCGAATGAAGAAATACAAAAAAAAAAATATTTCATTTAAATATATATTTTGAAAAAATTACAATTTTATTCTTTCCAACACCATTTTCAATCTTACATTTCCTTTTAAAGTCACAGTATTCCATGATTAATTGTTTTAAAGTTTTACAATGTCTCTTTAATCTAAAATTAGAGTGGGTGCCAACTTTACAATTATTAAAAACATTATAATACATTGAAAAGCAATGCCAATTAAACATATAACAATTTATTTCACTTTTATCAAAAATTTCAAACAACTTTGAAAAAACGGGATACATTTGATTCATATCACAATAATATTCTTTTAACAGATAAGGTACAAATGAAATTTATTTTCTCATATGAATAAAGAATCCAAACATCTGAACACAAAAAAGCAATCCACATCATTCCACCCGCATGCACAATTAATTTGTAAAAATTTAATTCTATATTCATAAACCACTTCTCTAACCCACAACCCATTTCTGAAAACATTTATTGTGCAATATCTTGTATCATAGATTGTAAAACTAAGTATTTTAAATTAAATTGTTTTACCTCATTTCTCCAGAAGACCTGACTTGCCAATTCATGAAGTGATGGAATCATGAAAATGATTTTGCAGATGACAAAGATAAGCAATTTAATCACTTGTCTTTCCAACTACAATGGCAATGACTTTGCAAATAATTTTCAAATAGTTGATCACAATTTTTCAAGATTTCCACCAATGCTCTTTATACAAAGGACTCTTGCTCACTTCTTTTTTAACTGACCAAATTTTCAACTCTATGCTCCCTATGTTCATGTTATTACACGAATGATCATATAAATACATACCTCTGTTTTCATAATATGATAAAAAGCAAAGATAATTTTCAAACAAAAATTTTCCATAGTCCTTTTGCTGTTCATACTTTAAAACAGATGTTAAATTTCGCATATCGAAAACATATTTATTTTTCAATTCGGACTTTACTAACAAATGTGTTAAGCGAATTAACCCTTGATTGCAGGTTTCCTTTGAAAATTGTGAAAAATTATCAGCTAAAAAATTCCCTCAGTTTTGGTCGCATCACAACATTGATGCATATTGCATGATAAATAGTGAAAATATGTATAATATGAGTAAATTGTTTATAATTCTTGTGAAAAGGTGACTGATCTAAGAGGTCCATTTTGCCGATGTGACAATGATTAATAGCGGCTACTAGAAATACATTGCATGCAGTGACCCCTCGCCGGACCTTAATGCAACAACATCATTTCCGAAACAGTGTAAAAATCATATTATATTTAACAAAATAAAGTATTTACAATAAAATATAACAATTTAAAACAGAACAAATTTAATATTTACATATAACAGTTAAAATAACACTCTCAATATTTGGCTACATTGACATACAGTGATTTCTCATCGGGTAGTCGAATTGTTGAGAACGATATTAAGATTGAAAACATTATTGGCTCATTTTTCACATGCTGATATCTTATTAATTGTTTGATTGAATCGGCTTTTAACCCGTAATGTTAATTTTGCTTGTGTATAGAATGCGTGATGTTGAACGTTAAAAATCAATGATGGTATAGAGATTATATGTCAACGTAGCCTAGACTGCACGTTTGAGAAGTTTAAGCACTAAACTTCTCAAACGTGCAGTTCGTAAATTGCATTGAGGGCTTTTGCTGCCCTCGTTTTTGTGTTGTGCGCCCAGTCTGCCGCTGGGGGCACACAACCCTTGTGTGGCCCCGCTGGCCACACAACCAACAAACAGCCCCTATAAGAAAAAAAAGTCACTATAAGAAAAAAAAAGTCATTATATATTATTTTCATACATTGTGATGGCCAGCGGCGTCTTTAGCAATGTTTAAATATTTGGTTAGACCTTCTGAATTCTTTCTGTCACACCGGGCTTGGTATGTTTAGCCCTAGAGTCAAGGTTATATGCTTACAACATCACACCACTTTGCGATTGTTCACGTGACTATACAATACATGGCAATCCATAAGGTATTAAATACATACGCGATTGGCAGGCGTGAGCACGATGGCCCCGCACGCCACACTTGTAGCAACGCCCTAAGATGGAATATCAAGAAATGATTGGTCTTCTGGCTAACTAAATTTGTGAATTAACTGACCATTGTCAATCAAACTTTATTAACCTGCAATATGTCCACGGAAACCTAAAAGAGAGGAGATGTCATTTTGAGCATCATTGCAATGTAACCATTAATGATCGAGTGTTATGTGTTTACATAGGTAATAACTCTAATGAAATAATACAAATTAATACCTGGGAGCAAGCCTTTTCCCCGAAGAGCAGGGAGCGGATGATGTTCTGAAATGTACGTAACAAACTTGGTTGACACATCGCGTAAATTAGGATATTAAATTGATTACGAAAAGTTTTTAAAAATTTGAGCTATCTGGAAGCAAATGGTATACATTACATTTCAGTAAAATTAAATGATACAATAATACCTGGGGGCAAGCCTCTCCCCTTTGATCCGGGGAGTGGATGATCTTCTGAAATGAAACAATAATACACAAATACATAGATGTGATTTTCAATAATGAACAAAATACATAGATGTGATTTTCATGCATCCACCACAAGGACAACATTTTTACAAAATGGGGGGGGGTTGTACGTGAAATTAAAGAAGGAAGGCAATTAAGTTGAGCTGGGTTGTGGTCTTTTAGCTCATTGGAAAATCTGTACCGGATAACAAAAATGTGAGGTTATATACCACAAATTATACATATATATATATATATATATATATATATATATATATATATATATATATATATATTTCTTTATATATGGCTAAGTCAATAATAATAATGTAAACTTGTGCATACATTGTTGATACAATTGTGGTGGCACAGGATTTACTGTGATAAAATGAGAGTATTTTAGTTGTGCAGGGGGAGCTACAGGATTGCTCACCTGGCCCATCCACTGCCACGGCAGGTTGCTCTGCTTCTCTTAGATCTATGGTGAAGGGAAATTTGTATATAAAATGTATTATACACTTCATTGTTGTGAGAAAAAATGAAAACAGTGCGACAAATGAATTAGATTAATACTTTGAATATTTTTTATTTACCTTCATCACCCTCTGCATCAACTTCAATTTCTAAAATGCAAGAGGCAAAATCTTTAATCAATATTTAGTACTTTGCTAAATTTATACTACAGTATGTGTATAAATATGGCCAGAGTATTATAAAGGCCACACTAAATTGATTTATGTCTTTGAGAATGAATCTATCTTTCATATATATGGCATGTTTGTCATGTGCGAAAAGAAAAGGTTACCACAAATTATGTTACTTATATATGGCCAAGTGCCTATCTGTAAACATACCAAGTACTTCTTCTTCATTTTCCACTAAAATACATAGAAAAATCAGTAACAGTAAAAACTTTTACCATTACACTACAACCATGAAAAAAGTGGTTTGTAAACTGGTAGAAAAGAGGTTGAATCTTACTTTTTTCTCTCCTTGTAGATGATCTTATATGCCATCAACATAAAAATATATTGAGTAAACATATTTTAATACTATTTCAAAAGAACTATACGGTTAAAATACATTGTATACTCGAGGCAAGCTTAAAATTCCTTCAATATAGCTACTGAAATGTTATTTTTGAGAAAAGAAATGTATTAAAATAGCAAACTTACATTTTTAAATAATATTTATGACTTTTGTAGCTGTAAAATATATAAAAATACAATAGTTTCATTAGTTTATTGAGAAAAGTTAAACACAAAAGACAATACGCGTCCGCGTTGGAAAAACATGCCAATTTTAAAATGCAATAAAAAGGATACAGAAGTCTCCCTAAAATATCTGTGTAAATTGGTAAATCAAATTGTCGACTGTGGAGTAGTATATGATAATTTATTCGAGCGAACTTTGAAATGTTTAATATTTTATAAAGTTTTTTATTTTGAAAAAGACTTACCGCAGTCCAAAAACAGCAGGATATCGGCAGGATATTTTCGCGCTCTTTTTGAAATTTATGTTATACGTGAATTTTGCGTGTACTTTATTATTGTTACCAGGCAAATCGCGAAATATCCCCGCGCGATGGTATTGTGGTTTTCATTTCATTGATTGTTATTGTAAATAGGTAACTTACCTGATTGATATAGTGTACATGTCAACAGCCACCCTCAAAAGCATAATACCTGATATTATGTCTAGTAACAGGCAATATGACACATGTACAGTACATTGCCATCCTCAAAAACAAAATTATAGAGGCAAAGTTGTAATAAGACATACAAACTTCACTTCTAAAATTGTGTCTAGTAGCAGGCGACTATGATTTCCTCGAAAGCACATTGGTGCCCAGTATCATTAAACAAAAGGATATAACAACTTACAATACAATCCATATCCTTATATGCATATATTCAATGCTTATGCCTCTGCTCAGTCTTTTCTGCAAGCACACGAAGTCGTCGTTCTGCTTCTTGTTGAATCTTCAAATTTTTATTCCTACCAATGACTTTCAGACGATCAAATGTCATAGGTTCAAACACAATATCATGAATTGATCTTACCCTGGATGTTGCCACAAATGTGCAGCCAGCAACTCTCTCCCCTTTACCTAAATCAACAACAGCCTTGGTTAGTGTCTGTCCTTGGGACTTGTGTATCGTCATTGCATACCTCAGCCGCAAGGGCAATTGTTGTCTTGACAAATACTTTCCATCAGCCATCCACTCAAACAGTCTTGGAGGCACAGGTATACACTTTGAACATTCTTGTAGAAATGCAGTGCCAGAATATGCCGGAAAATGAACCAGTACTGCAATCGGTAGATTTGGTGGACCCATATTCTCTGCAAACCAAAATTGCTCAATAGTTCCAAAAGAGCCATTGCAAAGACCACTTCTGCCCAAAGGTTCAGAGACAAAAAGAGAACAGCTTCCAAACCACCTGCTTCATCAGAGGTTGCCGCACTTGCACCCCGACCAGAATGCCTTGCTTGAATTTTGACCAATGGTTGTCCAATCTCTAGCAACTTTTCATAATTATATTCAGCGACACTTTTTTTATCAAAGTACAGCCGAATAGCATCACTAAATTGATCCATTGAAACGTTAGGTCTGGAGTGCTGTATTAATAGTCTCCAGTCCATCTCGGTAACTTGTCCATCTCTCATTCTCATCAATAGCGCCCTGAATGCAACTACTTCTGGGTCTTCACCAATCTGTCGCATGACCTGCTCTAAAATGACTACATAATCAAATGTCAAATACATACTGTGACCATGGTCACTGATTACGGATCCATTACCTGCAATGTACATTGGCCTATCGCCTACAGGAGGTAATTGGCCAAAATCCCCCATTAGGATAATCGACATGCCACCAAATGGGACATCCTCTTTTCCTGTACCTGCACGTAGTCTGTTGTCAAGCCATGAAAGCATCTTATGTCCAATCATTGACATTTCATCAATAATGAGAAACCTCTTACCTTCCAATCTGAGTTGCAATCTCTGTAAGGAATCACCCTGTAATTCTCTGTATTCCCGAATCGGAAGTTGAGCAGCGGAATGCAAAGTTTGACCACCAATACTGAATGCAGCAATTCCAGTGGTTGCTGTCACAATACATTGGTCTTGCAATACTTGCTTTAGGGCACTAATTAAATATGTCTTACCTGTGCCAGCAGTACCACTTACAATCATATGTAGCGGTTCACATTCATCATTAGCCATGGATGCAGTGATAATGTCAAATGCCAGCCGCTGTTTGTCATTCAAGGTCCCTGGGTCAACCACCACTTGTTGGTCACCTGTGTGATACTGCATACCTTGCTCCTCTGCATCCCTTCTCTGTTTAGAAATCCATCCAGGAGATTCTCTCAACAAATCCCCAGGCACGCCTCTTGCTGCTTCGAACCAATCCACTGCTTCGTTATTTGCCATTTGATTTCCTGCATCCTCATAATGTTGGTTGAGTCTACATAACAACATCCAATCCTCAATTTGCTCTTCCTCATTAGGTTGATCCTGTTCGTCATCGCTTTCATCACTACTTTCATCAGTTCCATATGTTTCATCTGTCTGTGCAGCATGGACCATCTCTGTTTCAATAGAATACCCAAATACATTGTCTCTAGCAAAATCTGTCTCAAGAAATGAAGCATATGTGTTAATAAACATATCATCAGTTTCCTCCATATTGTCCCATGCATTTGATGACTTATCTTCCCATGGTTTAAACTTAATGAGTTGATACTTGCAGTATTTTCCAAAGGTAGGGCTGCCAGGATTGGCTGTAACCTTTGGAAATGTCCTGACAATATAAGGATTCACTCGTTTTGTCAACTCACCTCTGACTCTTGTGAACTGAGATGCATACTGCATCAAATTCAACTGAGATAACCCCCTATACCTACTCTCCACTTTTGTCCGCTCTCCATAATCTTGAAGAACAGAATTCTGAAGTACTTCCTCTTGTGGATTTTCTGCATCAAGGATCACTTTTCTACTGTTTTCTAAAGAAACAGTAACAAAACTATACGTACAGCCTACCAAAGGCAAACTGAGTAACATATGGGCAGTCTCCTGAGCAGCCATGTCTCGATCACCAGCAACTTGGATCATTGCTTTCTTGATTGCAGAAGACACTTGGTCATCATTCTGTAATGAAGATACAGACAACTTCAGTATGTCAGAAGCAGATTTTGATCGTGGTTCCCCTTTTGCTGCATACTTGGCCATATATCTTGCACATGCCTTTTCATCCACAATTACCTGTAAATCCACATTGGCCCGCCAATTCTCAAGCATGACCCTGTTGTGTGAATTCAGCCTCTCATCATTTCTCTTGGTTTGCAACTCTGAGTGTACAGATTTATTTTTCTTACCTCGTACCTCATAAATCAGCGCAGTTTCCTCTTGTAATGGTTTTGGGAACCCAAATCTGCACTCTGCAGGCAGGTCAACCCTCTTCTTTTTCAGGCAATACGCTGGACTGCATCTGGTGTGCCTCTCTACTGAATTTACTAACCTGTGATAATCAACATCATGATTATCAACTGATGTGGCTTTCACCGCAGAAGGGTGTGGATCTGGTACTGTCCAGTTCTCATCAGGCAGATCATCATTAACTGTGGTCACAAGCCAGTCAACATAACTTTAAAAGGGATAAAAAGTAACAAATTGGTTAATACCTAATTTGTATATTTTTTCATATTTGCTGTTTACACTCCCAATTCCTTAACAATAGGAATTACCAATTCCTGAAGAAAATATACGGAATTTTGTTTTGTTTTGTGAATGTATGTGGAAGTTGTATTTTTAGACATTTGCAACATTGCAGCATTTGTATAGTATGCTAACCACTGATGCTAACTGTATACAGTGGGCTAAAAGTCTGGAAAAAGTCTTATAAATGTTCCACAGCACACATTGGACACAATCTTTGCAATCTATATGCATGGTGAGTGTAATTTAAACATACCATTAATACTTGATGATTTAAACTTACCTAATTAGCTTTCTCTCGCATCTTGACCCTCTCTGACAATATCCTGGCAAGAGAATTCAAAATCATCAGGGGACATTTCATTTTCTTTCTCTTTCTCAAGCACTGCTTTACATGCACGTTTACGTAATAACCGAATATCTGGATCATTCTTTAATTTAGCACATCCATGAGCATGTATACTTCCTCTGGCCTGATATTCAAACCTATACCAAAACCATTCAGCATCCAAGACACCTTGAAGCCAATGTTTGATAAACTCCTGTAGCCTTTGCATGAAGAACCAATCTGTCAGGTGCGGATTGTCTATCACTGCTTGTGCTCTCTCTGTTCTTGATGCACCCTCATTACTTTGCAACAGTCTTTGCAAGTCTGGCCAATGGCTGTCAGCTGCACTAAAGGTAAAGAAAAAGGTAGGGCAACCTTTTTGTTCAATCAGGGCCAAGAGTTCTTGCAGTCTCTGATACCAATACTGATTTGTTCCTTGAATTTTTGAAACATAACGTTGCAAACGATTTACCATTTGATTTGCACCCATAGAGTTTACCATTGTTTTCAGCTCCTCCATAGTCATGTTTGCATCCGCTGGATGTTGCCGCAAGTAAATGTTAGCTTGTGACAACAGCTGATGCCTCTGCTTCATATTCAACGCCCAGTATGGGAACCGGGGATGTGAGGCAAACCTCCATTCAAACTTACCATTTGGCAGCCTCTCTGCAAACTTCATCAGGTGTTTGAATGCCTCTGCCAAACTTACCTCATGCTGCCTGACTCTGTTTGTCGGGTCACCTCTCCCATGGGGAAATAGTGTTGGAAATGCCATGCTTGCCAAACCATCTGTTTTAAATTCATTAACAGCATTACCTTCTGTAGATGGCCAGTCCAAAGGGTCAACCTCATTCACTGCATCTTGGATAGCTGCACCATCCTTTCTTTGTCTTTGACGCATAGGAATAAATGATGTACTGCCATTTCCTAAAACTAATTCTTCAACTGTTGCATTAGCACTCATTTCAGGTTCTTGTGGGGGCCCCTCATTTTCTGCATGAACTAAAAGTTCCTGGTCATCAATAACATACCTTAGCTCCTCAGGGATACCATTCTCTGGTAGACTTTGGATAACATCCCTGTCAATTTCAATGTCTTTGAAAAATGGATTGTTTGTTTTCAACCACAATATAGCTTCAAACACCTTGTGTCGACGAACTGTGAAATCTTTATGTGTCTGATCAGCACCACGTCTCCGCACAATCATAACAGGCAAGTCAGCCACTTGCGCAGGCAACCTATTCAAGAAACTTTGAATATCCTGTGGTAAGTTTAGTACGTGGCCTTTATAACCCCTTTGCCCACCATGTTTTCTGTAGACTTGCATGATAGGGCAAACCCTTGAAATCAGCATTTCCTCTACTTGTGTCAAACCTCTCAACTGCTCAGGAACAATACCTGGGTCCATGTCATTGCCAGCACTGAAATTTTTCGGGGACTTCTTGTCTCTTTGACAGCGGTAACAAACAAAGGGATCTGCTGCCAAGTTTTGCCTTGTTGGCCAAGCCTCTTTACAAATTGTACACTGGCGATGCTCTAAATGGTCTTGATCTAAATGAAAACTGTGCATCTCATTCTGAACAAATACCTGCTCATGCAATGGGTTGTCAACATTTTGCCAGCCACCTTCATGTAAATATTGGTCTGAACTACTGGTGAGGACCTCATCTCTAGCTACTGTTATTGCATTTTCATGCCTTACCTCAGAATTTTGTGGCGGTACCTGTTGCATTTCATTACTATTACCTGTCTCCAAAAGACTTACCGCTCGTTGTCTCATTCTTTCAAGTCTTTTTTGTCTTTTTCCCTTACTTTCATGTTGCCTTCTTTCTCTGGCATTAGCTCTATTATGTTCTCTTTGCATCTCCCGTTTCTCCTCAGTACTTTCGTCAGTTCTTCGTCTGTAAGCAGCTCTTCGCATTCTAAGACGACGTTCTTTTTGTGTTGGCGTTTCTTGCAGCATCTTTTGTCGCCTTTCAGCTCTTAGCTCATGACCTTTTTTTCCTGTACTTGTTTCAGCTCTTCTTTTATAGGCATCCTTCTTCTTTGCCAGCCGATACTGTCTTTCCTCCGGTGTTTCACCAACTAACACAGCTCGTCTTTTTTCCCTCTGTCTTGCACGGCTATCCTCATATGTTTCTCCCTTCTTTTTCGTCTCCTGCTTTCTAATGCGGTTATTGTCCGACATTTCCGTGGAAATTGTCTTTCAGTGTTGTTTTTTTTTCAAATATAAAGCAATTGTTCACAATACTGTAAAGGTTTTTGTAATTTGCTTTTGTGAAAGAAATTAAATTCAAATTATAATGACAGTTAATTTACTCACGTAATTTTGTTTAAAAAAATTTAGGCCTTAGCCAATCATAAGCTAGTTAGTTACCAGCTCAAACTCGTCTTAAACTCACGCATGCGCATAAGTTACAAAAACGCCCAACGTCCATGACATAATGGCGGACAACTTTCATTTCGCATTTGCATTCCCGGGCGTAATTCCTAATCTCCGGGCGGAATTAGTACCTTTGCCCGGTGCTTCGCACCGGCTCGGGGATAATGCATGTGCAATATAATAATATGTACAACATTAATTCTGGTGTCTTCCTGATGAGTGCAAAATGTGTACAACATTCTGTATTAGATAAGTATTAGATAAGTAGAATATTTAAAGATAATTTGTTGTATATAGTTTGAATAAATTTGTTAAAACTAGAAGTTACTATCGCAAGGGAAGTGCTGCCGTACTACCAGATCTTGATTTATACAAATACACATCATTTTACACACTGTATGAATGAATTTATTTTGTTTAAGAAAATCGAAGTTACAACGGTCAACATGCTATAATTACTATATACTATAAAGTGCACTTTGTGCAACAATGTGCAACAATGTCATGTTATTGTTGTTGCCAATATTTTAAACTGCGACATTAAATGTCAATGGTAATCATACTTCACTCCAGTAATGATAGTCTATTGTACCATTGGTTTTTTGTCCAATATATAGATGTCGCATGTTCATTTAGCATGTAGTTCATTTAGCATGTAGTGTATATAGATGTCGCATGTTCATTTAGCATGTAGTGTCCATCGTTGGCCATCATTATTGCGCAATAACTTGTTGGGGTATTGTATATATACGGATGTGCAATATTTAATAATACATGGCAGAATCCATCCATTGCATACGATGTAATATATACATACAATATTGTAAATCAGCATTTTGTTTCAATAGGAATACATTTCTGTTTATCTAGAAGGTCCCATCCATTACATGCAATGCAATATATTCAGATTATATTTTAACTGTAACAACCATTTACAGTAGTTTGATCCAACAGTTAATATGGCTTTCACATCTATCAGAATTGCAAAACTATAGAAAGAAATAATTAGTAATATTTACTTAGAAACATAGTGGAACATAAATAAATGAAAGTAAAATAGGGCAGGGGGAGGGTTTAGACAAACAAAAAACTTACCTTTGTTTTGTCTTGCAAATCACAATACTTTCATACATACAGTGATAATGAGTAAATTGGTTATTATTTTATTAATGAAATTATTTAAAAGGGTATATAGGCAAAGTACATACCACACTAACTGGGATCCATATATGAAATCCTCCAATTATTTAAACTCAATAGTTTGTTGTTCTAAATGCACAGCTTGTAGCCTGTGCTAGATGATCTAGCCTGTTTTCTTCTTCAAGCGTATATTGTAAGTTAGCTGATGACTTCAAGCTTGTTAATCGTTCATATGTCATTGGTTCAATGACACAAGATGCAAGTGATTTTACTCGGCTAATAGCAAAATAGGAAACTCCAGCAGTTCTTTCAGATTTGCCAATATCTATCCATGCTTTTGGAAGTGTGAATCCTTGGCTCTTGTGTATTGTTAGAGCCCAAGCAAGCCTAAGAGGTAACTGTTGCCTCTCATGGAAACCTATTTCTGCCTGTGATGTGACAGTGATTGGATATATTGGGATAGACAATGGTTGGTTTTCATTAAAAACAGGTCCTCTATAGTTTTCAAATTCTACTATTACCGCAATAGGTAAGTCAGGTGGTTGATGGTTGTTCTGATAGATAATATCAATGACTGTTCCAGTAGCCCCATTGCAGAGGCCAACACTTGACCACAAATTCATAGTTAGCATGACCCTAGCACCTTTTGCCAGAAACACAATAGGTTCTAACCCAGACATATCATCCGAAGATATCTTTTTGGCCAATGCTGATGAATGGCAAGCATTAATATGAGCAATTGGATGCTCAAGTTTTGTTAGCTGCTCATGGTTGTAATTTGCAACTTGTTCATTACTATAAAAGAGTCTAGTAGAATCTTCAAAGTCACATAAATTAGTGACTTTTGATGGCTGACGTTTCAGAAGTAACTTCCAGTCATCAACTGTTGAGTCGCCTTTGCGAAGTTGTAATAACAAATCTCTGAAATGTATTTGTTCAGATGTCATACCTTGCACACGTTGATTTACAGTGAGTTTAACAACTTTGTCAAACATATGATATGCTTGATAACCTTGTTCACCAACAGCATTTGATGGTTTAGCATGGTAAAGAGGCTTATCTGCTACAGGTGGCAACTGACCTGGATCACCAGTTAAAATCAAAGATTTTCCTCCAAATACTTTGTCATTATAACCAGTTGCTTGTTTGCAACGCTTGTCGATCCAACCAAAAGTAACTTGGCCAAGCATAGAGTATTCATCAATAATGACCTATCCAATGTTATTAACACTCTCTTGTAACCTGCACAAGCTTTGTCCTGTTAGATCTTTATTACCTCTTGACCCTATAGGTAACTTTAATAGAGAATGCACAGTTACACCTCTGTTATAAGCTGCTTTACCAGTGGTAGCAGTAACAGCACATTTATTTTGCAAAAGATTTCTAATAGCATTAATAAGGTAACTTTTACCAGTTCCTGCAACACCATTTATAATGAGACATAATGGCTCGCTTTCTGATGATGTATCATCAAAATGAGACTTAACAATGTCTTAAGCAAGTTTTTGCATTTCACTAAAACTGTTGATGTCAACAACATCATATTGCTCATCAATAGTGTATTCCTTTTTTTTTTGTTTTTATCCAAGTTGGCATTTCTTGAATTTGTTGTTGAATAATTGGCTTGTCAGATGCCAGTCATGTGTTGACTCTGGTGTTTGTTCAGAGTTGTGAAAAGGAGTGTATAGATCTGATAATATCATCCACTCTTCTTGAGTTGTCTCCTGTTCTTCAGAAGGTTCATCTTCTGGTTCTTGACTTTGAATAACAGCTTGTAATTTATCAAACCAGTCTGGGACATTAGACTGCCCACAAGGTGTTTGTAAGAATTCATGCCAACAATTGATCAGAACCTCATCAGTTGGTTCTTCGCCACCCCATGCATTATTTTGGGTTGTTCTCCAGGGTTTATACCTCAAAAGTTGATATTTACAATATAGGCCAAAATTTGGACCTTTGGGATTAGGAGAATATGTTGGAAATATTCGTGGTATAACATTTTCTGGCAATTTTGTCAGTTCATTGTTAACAACTTTGTATGTTGTTGCAAATTGAACAAAGTTCATATTCATTATGTTTTTTGAACTCTCATATTGTTCACGATTAGCATAAACATCAAGAAGTGAATCATTTGTGCACGATTCACCCTCATCAATATTTGCAGTATCACGCACTCTACGTGAACCATTTAGGCTAACTGGCATCACTTTAAATGATGAGCTGTGGAGTTTTAAAGACAACAAATGGTGCATTGTCTCTTGAGCTGCATAATCTTGTTCACCAAGAGATTTCATAACTACCTTCTTAATAACTCTGCGAGGGTCAGTATTACTTTCAACATTTTGCACAATAGAATTGAATGCCTGTTTTAATATAGGTGACCTTGGCTCACCTTTGGCTGCATATTTTGTGAGATATTCAACACATGCATAGTGATCAATTACAACTTGAATATCACAGTTAGCCCTCCAGCCTTGGAGCTGAAGTTGTTGATGGTTATTTAACCTAGAGTCATTTCGTTTAGTCACAATCTTAGCTCGATAATGTTCATTATCACCCGAAGTGTGAATTTTTTCAAATTCTAATTTTGTCTTAGGACAAATATCAAATAAGAAATGAAATCTACATTTCAACTCTGTTTCATTGACTTCTTTCTAAGACAATAACTTGTACTACAATGGGTATGTCTTTGAAACATGTTTAATAGATCTACATAGTCTGATTGTTTTTCATGTTCAGGAATTTCATGATGATTTTTTTGACATGGATGAGTTTCAGGTCTTATCCACTTGTCCTCATCTGGTGGATTAGGATTGATGGTTGATAGTAACCAATCAACATACTGACATACTGTGTCAGCTGCTTTCAGACCAGCTTCAATATCCTGGTCTAGTTCAGTTGTGTCAGAACAATCATTTTCATCTTTGAATTGTTGAGCTAAGAAACCTTTCAAAGCAATTTGAGTAAGTTGACACAAACCTGGGTCATTATTTAATTTAGCAGTACCATGACAATGGATACTACCTCTACCTTGATATTCATATCGAAACCAGTGCCATTTTGCATCAAGTGTATCATAAAGCCAGTGTTTTACAAAGCTTTCTAATCTCTGTGTGAAAAACCAATCTACGACATGGGGATTGTTGATCACATTTTGTCGTCTTACATCACTGGTAGAATTACCTAACTCACTGCCAGTATCAGCTTTAAATAAAGCATGTAACTCCGGCCAATGCATATCTGCAGAGGAGAAAGTGAAAAATAATGTTGGTGCTCCAACACTAGTTATAATAGCTTTGAGTTCCTCTCTTACTCTATTCCAATAAGCATTAGTACCTGCAATATTGCCAACATATCTTGACACTTTAGACATAAATGCATTGGCATTGTTATTGGCAGCCATTTCACGCAGTTCATCAATAGTGAGATGTGCTTCACCTGGGTTCTGTTTAAGGAATATTCCACTTTGTTGTAAAATCCGCTTTCTTTGAATCATGTTAAAAGCCCAATATGAGAATCTGGGATGGTTGGCAAAACGATATACCCATTTACCATCAACAATCTCAGCAAATTTCAATAGATGTTTAATTCGTTCATGAAGAGGAACATCTCTTAAAAGAGCTTGATTAGTAAGATCACCTTTCCCATCAGGGAACAATGTTGGAAAAGCCATAGTGGCCAGATGTGATATCTGATATTCATTTAATGGCTCATTTTGAACAGTAAGCCATGCCATTGGTTCATTTGAAGTAAGCTGATCTCTAACAGCTTCAATTTCCTGTTGTTGTTGTTCACCAACAGGTAAGAAACTACTCATTTCTGTTGAATCATTGTATACAATGTCCCCAGAAGGTTTGTCAGTAGGTGGGTCTAAATCTGGCGTCACACTATCATCTGACATTGTGTCATTTTCGGTTTCAACAGTCATAAGATCTGGTGGTACACCATTTTCAGGTAATGAATTTAATGCATCTTCATTAATTGTTAACTCAGAATAATATGAGTTATTATTGATAAGCCAAACTAAAGCAATATGTACTTTTTGCTTTCGCACTGTCACATCTTTGAATGTGTTGTCTTTACCTTTCACTTTGACAATAATCACAGCCAAGTCTTTGCGGTATCTTGGCAAAGATGTTGCAAGCTCTTTCACATTTTGTGGCAAGTTAATACAATGCCCTGAGTAACCTCGTTGACCTCCAGGTTTAATATAAACTCTCATGATAGGAAGAACACGAGCAATTAACATTTCCTCAACTTGAGTCAAACCTTGTAGCTCATGTGGAACACATGAAGGAATCATTGCATTTGAAAGTGAAAACTTTTTAGGTGATTTTTTATCTCTGGAGCATTGAGAACAAACATAATCATTTGGTGATCTTGGTTTAGATTTTAATGGCCATGCCTCTTTACAAATATTACATTGGCTGACTGAAAACTGAACAGATTTGTGGAACTTTTAAATGTTAGCTTTTGCCCAACATTGTTCTTCAATACTACCATTTTTTGTAATGTCATATTCTTTTAAATAATCCTGCTGAGTATTTATATGAATCTGCTCTGCATTTGGCAATCTAATTTCATTTTCAACACAAGCTTTTTCGGCGTGTTTTCTTTTTTTATACATTCTAGCATTTTCAAGTCTAGTTTGTTTCTGTGTTTCATTTTCTCCATCTCGTTTTCTTTTTTTATACTTTCTGGCATTTTCAAGTCTACTCTGTTTTTCACATTCAGTCTCTTCCGAACGCTTTTGTCTCGTATGTTCCTTAGCATTATAAGCTAGCTTTAATTGAACTGGTACAACGTCAAACAAATTGGTATTTAATTCACTTGACAAACGACATAAATGATGCTCTAATTCACTGAGACCATCATATTTCATGACAACAGCAGTGCCATTAGGATCTGGCATGCCATTTATATCTCTGGCATGTGCATCAAATAAATAAAAACTTGAATCTAAATCCTTTATTAACGCTGTGATATAGCCTTCTAATATTAAAATACTATAATAATTGTCATGTGTGAAAGTATTCATCAAGGCTGAATGAATGGTGAAGTAGGGAGTCCCAATATCATAATCACTTCTGATCAGACCTTGATGGTCATTTCCATAATTTATAAACCAACGTTGTTTTTCACTTTGTGCCTCAATGGGCTCTACCACAATGGGCAGATCACTTTTGTTTTGTGCCTCAATGGGCTCTACCACAATGGGCAGATCGCTTTTGTTTTGTGCCTCAATGGACTCTACCACAATGGGCAGATCGCTTTTGTTCTGTGCCTCAATGGGCTCTAGTTCTACCACAGTTGGTAAGTTGTTCAGAGATAACAATCCTTCACGCGGAATGAGATTATTATTATAAGAATGTAAGTACATATTGTCTCCTTGCACTAAAATAGTGTCGATGATTGCGGAATTCCACTGAGTCACTGGAATAGTTTGTGCTGTTAACAGCGCTGATAAACTCATAAAAGAGCACTGTTTTCCTCGAGACTGGACACTGAACTGTTCATGACCTTGATGAATACTTGCACACGCAAATAAAGACATGATGTAGTTCTTACAATTAATTTTTGTTTTTGGAGGAACGATGAAACTTTATACTTGCGAGTTTCGAAGACAAAAGCAACGTGCTATATTGGTACCAACTTTTGGCACTGCGCACAAATTGGTCAGTGGCCACCACAGACAGCCTGGTAGGTGCTTCATCTTGCATGGGATATTCAGATACAGATGCTGCACTGTCAGATGTTGTTGTTACAGACAGTAGTGACTCTGATGACTGAATTGTCATCTGACTATGAGTACTGAACATTTTTTCATTTAATATATACTGTATGTATATTTACCTTGTGGCAAAATGTTGTGTTAAATTCATAGTTGCAATGGCTTACAATACTGTTTTATTATTGAGGTCTATTTTTTTTACCCACCCTTTCTCTATACCACAATTTCAATTACCCACCCTATTTCTCTTCGGTGCCCCCCTGAGGCATAAATAATGAACGGTCCCTAGCTTGTAGGAGACAGATTCAAACTATACCTGCAAGATGAAGTACTTACCTTTAACGCGACCCAAGTTATTACTTATTAACCCTAATGTGCCTTGGCCTGGACGTCATCCCCAAAAATTAGAAATAACAACCAACAAAAGAAATTTAATAATAACCCATTAACTGGCAATGCACCCTACTTATTTTTCTTTTGACAAATGCGAGAAGATTTTACTTGTATTATTATTAATGGGTTAACCACAAAACTTGATGTCTCCAGTTAACTGGCAATGCTTCCCAGTGCACCCTACTTATTTTTTTTTTGACAAATGCCAAACGATTTTACTTGTCAATGAGGAAGCACTGGCCATCACAAAAAGCTTCAAAAGAACATAAAGCAATTTTAATTTGAAAACTGAAATGTAAATAACAAATTATTAAAGTATTGTTACAGATGTATAAACCTTACAATACAAAATACCAAAATAGTGAATATACCAGTAAATAGTATACCAACTAAACATGAATAAGTTCAATGTCAATCAGCTTGTAATGTCAATGAATAACAAAGTTTTCTAACTAAATATGAATAGTCAATGTTTAAAAACTTGTTTCAGATGTATAAACCTTACAATACCAAATACTAAAATCCAGTAAATAACTAAACATCAATAAGTTCAATGTCAATCAGCTTGTGACTTTGGGTATCATACAACATTTTCATGTCATCTAATTCAAGAATGCTTTCCATAATTTTATCATCTGTTGGTTCCCCTTCCAACTTGCACAGGCTGAACAACTTGGTAGCAACATCATTATACAAAGTGAGACGGATGTTTTCCACTGGTATAGATGTTGTTTCCACATAAATTCGGAGGAACCATTGTGTAGTGCACTTGCTTGTCTTCTGAGATAGTTCACAGTTTTTACAAAAGGAGAGGTTTTCTTTAGTAGTCACTTTTTTCGAACACGAACGACATGATTTGTACTTGTTAATGCCATAGACTCCTACAATACTTGCTACAATTTCTTTGGTAGTTGACTGTTCCTCAACACTGGGGAGAGGTTTGGTGAAAGGTTCAGCTGATGTAATAACACACTCATCCTCTTGCTTTGGAGTATTCAGATACATTTGATTCTGAGAGACTTTAACTCTTAATTTGTTAAACACATATGTAACTCTTAATTTGTTAAACACATATGTTAAACCTATCTCGACGGCATCAGTGTGACTACCCCAAAAGATAATCTTTATGTACCCAGTTGGATCAGCAATGTAACCTTCTTGTTTCTTTACATGGGAAGTTTGAAGGACCACAGTTTTTGTGGATGATAGTTGTACTACGTTGCCTTTGATGCATACAAGCTGTTCGGGTGCAACTTGTCTCAGGGAAATAATTGTGATCATATCATCCTGACTTACATAGTCAAATGTGGTTGTGCTTGGTGTTATTGTTGTAAACTTGTTTATTACAACATCATCCCTGCCATACCTGTTGCTTATGGAAAATTTCTTGATTTTGACTGGAGATTTTTGTTCAGACAAAGCATCCAAGGTTCCCTTCTTTTCAGGTGAGAAACAAACACTTTTAATCACACTTGACTCTGTCTGAAGAGTGCAATTGAAATACGTACAGGAGCCAGTTTTTTTTATAGGTGTCACAGAGTAAACATAACAATTAATTTCGGACGACTCTACAAATATAAAACAGAAATACTGAGATATTAAATAAACATTGTATTCAACAAAACCTATATTTAGCCCTGGTTTATATGTCAAACTTTGGTCGCGTTGAATGCAATTCAAACGACTATAAATTTGTTTGAATTGCATTCGACGCGATCAAAGTTCGACCTATAAACAGGGCCTTATGTACTGTAGTTTGTAGAGAATGATCAATTTTGTCTGGGGAGAAAGCTAAGTAATTGAAACTGACTTCAGAGTTCAGGCAAGATGCAGTATTTTTTACACAAAAAACTATATACGCTGCACATACCTGGCTTTATAGACTTTATAGTTTGGGACATAATGCAGTAAATTTCTGGACGGAAAAAGCCTAATAGAGAATTGAAAGCAATGTCATTACACACATCGACCTTCAATTATCAGTAAAACACTTGAATAACTTCAACAAAGCCTTAATAAACTCACCTGAAAGATACTTGTACTGTGTAGCAAAAAATGCAAAGCGAAGCAATGGCTGGAAGCATAAGCATGCTGTTCTTCTTCGACGACTGGACATACGCAATCAACGTTTACATGGATTGCGTAATCCAACTAACATCCATCCGAATCTTGTTGAAAATCGAGATTTTCAACCTTAAAATTTCTTACGAATTTTTTCCTTAAAAACTTCCTAAAATTGTAAAAGTGTTGCGCAGAGATAATTTCTTAGTTTAAGAAAATTTTCTTACATCTGCCCAAATTTTCTTAGAGAAAATGTTGATAATGAGAAAAAATTAATATAAAGGAAAATTTCTTATTAATCAAAAAAGTATTACTTAAGATAATAGAAAGATCTGTTTTATAGTATTAGTATTAATAAGACAAGGTGAATGTATCTAAAAAAACCCAACAACAAAATCAAAGTGTTTGGAGATATATACCGAGACGTGAGTAATTATTTAGCAGCAAAAAATCATTTTCTCTTTTAAAAAAACAATCATTTAAATTTTTTTTTCTCAAAATAAGTTCAAATTTTCTTGGGATAACAATTGATCGACCAATCATGTAAAAATGTGCACATTATTCTAGGATCCTCATTACTAGTTTGATATTGAATCTCAGATAGGACATGTTAACCTTCATTGATGTTAGAGATAACGATATATGAACGTCTGCTACAGTAGCACATTTTAAAAGCAGTTTCATTGGTGTGAGAATAGAAATAACAGCAGGCATTGGGGAACGACGAGTGGTTGGCATTATACGACCATACGTTTGCTAGGGATAGATTGCCATATCAGACATTAGAATTTATATGACCAGACATTATGTTTGAGAAAAAGCGGACAATGGAAGGAATAACTGTTGAGGTATAAGAATCTGCTTAAAACCGAACATCCAGAAAAAATTAAGTGAGAAACAACAGAAATATTTAAAGGTAGTGATGGAACGGATGAAATTAGAAAGATGTCAAGAATGGAAAATAATACCTGTTGTAGTAAGTGTGACAAGGATTGTGACTAGGGAATGGGATGAACTAAAGTATATCCAGCTGATCTGAGATCATGACGTCATAAAGCGTCTCGACAAAACTGAGTTATCATGTGCCTAGTGTAATTTGTCCTTAGCCTTCCAACTAATAGTATAAAGGGTAAAAATTTTAATTTTAATTTGCAGTTAGGAAAAAATAAACGTGTTTTCACATAAGTATAATAAAATTACTTGATATTTTCGAGCGTTGAAGTCATATCCAATGAAGGAAATGATAATTCAGTTTTTTCGAAGATCTGGCTTCTGATTGGTTGATTTTTATACCCAGATAAGCTGGATACCAGGAATTGGTGAAGGGCAAGGAAGAGATGCAGAAGATGGTGTATGCAATGCGCTCCCCAGACCCATCCTGGTAAATTGCAGGGAAAATTTGGAACTTATGTGACAAGCTTCAATGGACATCATTGCAGCTGCCCAAGAAGTATTATATTGGCAGTTGCTAAACATATTAGAGTATACCAAAGTAATTTGCTAGTACCATAACACATACATTTGGTATAAAAACACAATTTAATATAAATGGTATTATGAATTTAATATAAATTGTGTAAGGCTTGTTAATTTATTCAAGGAAGAGTCAGAAATCTGGGAAGTATAATTTATCACGAAATACACCAAATCTTAACATTTTGGTAGTGGAAGCACGGGGTTTACGGACAGAGGACAACTGAGTTATATTATAATTATAATATAGCTCAGTGCAGATGACAGAGCAGTGAACTGAGCTCTCTATATATATATATTGAGTAGTAACTTCACTCATTTGGCTAATGTTCAAGTGAAGCTAAAGATCGCAGAAACTGAAGTGACGTGCACGGCCAAACTGAATTCTTGTTCTTTTTTGCTATTTTCTCATATTTTGGGTGGAAAATAGTAGAATTTTTAATTAAAGTTATATGCTCATGCTCTGTATTAGGATATTTTAAAGTTTCACTTAAGTTTGCTAAAAAAGGAGCAATATGTTAAGAGAAGTGAGTGTGGGCTGTTGACGTTCTTGCAAATAACAAAATACACTCAAAAAATACAAAGAAAATGTTACCTTATCTCAGTTTCAAGAGAAAAGATATATAGAAAGCTTATCTTCCATAAAAGCAATTACTTGCAAAGAAATTATCCGAAACATACGAGTTTCAAAAGTCAAAACACAAAAATATGGCATATTTATACGAACTTTTCATGCAGGTGAAAACCTTTAAAAACTTACCCATGCTAGGACGATTGGCAAAAATAAAAGACTATCAGTGTCTTAAAGCTGTGTCAAAATTACAAGGTAAAAAAACAAAATTTACCGAGTAAAACCAAATGTTTCAAGCGTACTTGTTCTCACAACAAAAAATTCGTATTTACTCACACTGTAGTGGAAAAATACAGTAGTCAAGTCAATTAAGGTAGATGCAGAGAAATAGATTGCTATAAAAATATCAATTTTGTGACTTTTGTCCATTCTTGTTTTTTTATGCCTAGTTTCCATTCAGTCGTTAGCTGTCGTTACATGTCTTTCTGTGTCTTTGGAATAATCGTGAAAGACCGATAAAGACTGAGAGAAACAGACAGTGTCGCTTGGATTGAACAAATCCTATCTCAACGACATGAAAAGACAGGAATCAACATAATTCTTCCTATAATTCGTTATCGGTCTTTCACAATTATTCCAAAGACACAGAAAGACATGTAACGATAGCTAACGTCTGAATGGAAACTAGGCATTAAAATGGAAAAAACCACAAAAGTCTGAGGTTTGCGAGCCCTTGTGCGAGCCATCCAGGGGCGAAACTTGAGGGGGGTATGGGGGGGGTGTGACACCCCCTCAAAATTGGTAAGGCAAAATTTGCAGGGCAATCGTTCTTGTAAGGGCAATAAAGATCTCGTTTGATAAAGTCGCACTTTTGGGAGATTGAACTAAATTACTGAAGGTTGAAAAATCATTGAATAATCGTTGAATATTATGTTATATATCAGTTTTGCCTAGTTAAGAGCTGTCTGAGCTAGAAGTTTTCAGCACCGTAATTTCAAGGAAAGAACCAGAACCACTGATTAACAAATGGCAGGAACTCTCCAAAGATCTAGAAAGCTCGACTCGAACCGAAGTTCAACGCAGATACTTTCCCCAACTATCCTCATGGCCACAAAACGCAATCCTTCACATCTTTGTCGACGCAAGCACGAAAGCCTATGGGACAGTCGCCTACATCACATCCAATCCGTACTGCTCTATGGTTATGTCAAAGTCCCGCGTAGCTCCACTGAAAAAGTTAACCCTACCACAACTGGAATTGATGGCCGCTGTCACAGGTGCAAGACTTGCCTCCTATTTGTCTTGTCATCTAAAACTAACCGAAACCGTGTTCTGGTCCGACAGTCAAATCGTCTTACACTGGCTTTTTTCCCAAAAGGAGCTAAAGAGTTTCATTAAAAATCGCGTCAAGGAAATCCACCAACTCACCAACAATGCCACTTGGAATTATTGCCCAACTTCCGACAACCCAGCGGATCTCTTAACACGAGGAATCTCCGCAGACAGCCTTTCCAAATCCACCTTGTGGGACAATGGCCCACATTGGCTGACAAATCATGCAAACTGGCCAGAGTGGAAACCTAACATGGTTCTTCTCCAGTCCTCCCTGAACAAAGATCAAGATACGAACGAAGCCCCTCCTACAAACCCTGACACGCCTGAGTCAACAAAACGTTCACCTACCAACATCAAGCAGATTATCACCCCTACCAAATTCAGTGACCTCCAGCGCCTACTACGCACCACAGCCTGGGTACTTCGTTTCGTCAACGCCTTGAAGAAAGTCAACCCACCAAAAGAGAAGGTACTAAAGGTACACGAAATTGAAAATGCGAGAATGATTTGGATACATGAAATCCAAAACGACGTGTTCAGTAACGAACTTGCCAACATCCAAAGACCGAAGACCCCCCGCCTACCCCTCGTACGCCAACTTCGTCTATTTACTCTGAGTGACGACATAATTCGTTGCGGTGGTAGAATTCACAATGCACCAGTGGACCACTCCACAAGATTTCCCATACTTCTACCCGCAAACCACCATTTCGCCATGCTGATCGTCAATGATGCACACAGAAGGTTGCAACACGCCGGTTTAAATCAAACCCTGACAGATATTCGCCAGAAATACTGGATTCCAACAGCACGCCAATACATCAAGAAAACACTTCGTCGATGTGTTACATGTCGAAAGACCTTCGGAACACCCTACACCGCTCCGGATCCGCCTCCACTTCCAACGTACCGAATGACTGACTCCCATCCATTCAGTGTTACTGGGGTAGACTTCACCGGAGCCATCTACGTGAAAACACCAAGGGGTCAAGAAAAGGTCTACATCTGTTTGTTTACTTGTGCAAACACACGCGCAGTCCACCTGGAAGTCGTCACCAACTTAACCGTTCCGACCTTCATGTCCGCCTTCCGAAGATTTGTGAGTCGCAAGTCCCTCCCCAAAATTATATCTGACAATGCCTCAACCTACCAGTCCGCCGCCGAAGAGTTAACCCAACTATTCAACTCAACTGAGTTGGAAACCAACCTTAGTAAAAGGGGAACACAATGGAAATTCATCCCGAAACGAGCACCGTGGTACGGCGGTTTCTGGGAACGCTTAATCCGCGACTTCGCCGCTAGAAACACGTGTAGTGTCATGTGGTCAAAATCCTGAAATGCGGACACTTTCCGGCCATAGTGTATATACAAGATACAGACAGTAGCGCTCTAATGTCAAAATCTGGGCCATCTTCTTATTTAAATCAACTGATTTACATATAGCTTGTCTGTAAAAAAATACAATGGTTGGACCGCAACCTACGAACTTCAAGGCAATGACCGTAGCCGCAATTAAGAAATATTTGCAAGCGCGTGGCGTAAGTGTCAATGGCTATCTGAAGTCTGGTCTCGTCGAAATCGCAGTCGCAGTTGAGAAGATGATGTTACCGCTAGATCCTAACTTTGAAACGGTAGAAAATGGCGACACATTGAAACAAAGGTTATTTATTCATGACGTTCAGATTGATGACCCTTTTACTATGACAATGAAGAACGATTTCATTGATTCTCCACCATTTGGACTATATGATATTTTTAACCACCTTATTTATCATGCCACCGAATACGACAAGCAAGGTCTAGCTGCCTATAAGTCCTTCGAAGACTACCGACTTTTTCAAGATGGTTATGTTCAATCACTAAAAACTGTGAGTGTAATAGATGCAGGGGTATATGTATATGTCGGCCAGGTGCAACCAACTATGCGAGCAAAAACTGATGGGGGGAAAGACTGTTATTCGTTGTGGTTCATCTTGGAAGGTCGAGGGGCAAACAGAGGGAGTGTGCTTGATGCATTTTGTGAATGTAAGGGTGGACGGGACGGTGGTTGCAAGCATATAGCAGCTGCAATGTACTCACTAGAAGAACTGTTAAACCAGGATGGAAAAAAGAGTGTGACAAGTGGCCCTTGCTTGTGGATGCCAAAACCACAATCCTCCAGTCAGCCATGTGCTGTAGACCAACTGGAAATCATTAAAATCAAGCCACCAGCTGGGAAAAAAAGAAAGAGGAACTATACATGGCTACAAAACATTGATTTTGACCCCCGAAGTCCAAAGCATTGCAAGGTTTCGCCCATGACAAAGGAGCGTTTTACTGAGAGGCTCAGTGCTGTTTCTGATACCACATCCAACAATGATTCATCACCACCTGCACCAGTTATACTGCCCCTTTTACAGAAGCTATATTTAAAGAAAACTGATGAAAATCATAGTGGCAAGGAGTCCGACTCCCAAACTTTGTGTGGCAAGGAATGCAGCATGAATCAAAGCACTGGAATAATGAGGCAAAAGGTGGAAACTTACATTCGGGAATCAACTGAAAAGAACCCTGAAAAGTTCCGAAACATGCTATATTTTACTGATGGTGAAATTAATCATGTAGAGGAAGTCACCCGGGACCAGTGGCAATGCGATGATTGGTATGAGCACAAAATTGGTTTTATAACAGCTTCAAAGTGTAAAGATGTTTGTACAAGGCAAACAACATTAGAAAAGAAGAATGATTTTGGTACTACTGCTCTTGCAAGAGCTATTGCAACACAGCCAAAAAAACAGTAAAGACTGTTGAAAACAACCCACTACCCCACGTAGTTGGGGATTAAAACATGAAGAGTCAGCCAAAGATTCCTATTTACATGTGCAAAAACATTTGCACTATAATGTGAAACTTCTGAAGATGGGATTTCTTATTTCAAAGAAAAAACCATTTGTGGGTGCAAGTGCTGACAACATAAGAACATGTGAATGTGCAAGTGGATGCAAAGATATACTTGTGGAGTATAAGTGTCCATGGGTACATAGAAATCTTGACCCCAAAGAAGCATTTCTTACAAAAGAAATAGGGGTGTGAAAGTGGATAATGTTGAGCAACTGAGGCCAGATTCCAAGTATTACCACCAAGTTCAAGTGATATTATTCGTAACTGACCTTGATACTTGTGACTTTGTTGTTTGGACTTTAAAGGGAATCCACTGTGTTAAAGTTGACATCAACAAATGTTTTATTGAAAATGTTATGCTAAAACTAGAAAGGTTTTGGTTGTCACAGGTTGTACCTCTGTTGTTTGATGAGGATGACACAGCGAATGAAAAAGGTCAGTACATAAATTGTAAAAATGATGTCTAAAATTTCTGGAAAAACTTTGGTTTGGTTCAATATAAGAATTTGTAAATAATTTACAAATACAGTGGCTGTTCTCATTGATTATTATTATTTTTTTTATTTAAGACACACAATCAACATCTGCAAAAGATGAGGAGGACCAGAGCGTCTCTTCAGTTGTTGGTGCTGTGTCTGTAGAAAGAACCCCGAAATGCTATGTGAAGGATGAAGAACAACAAACTTGTTCTGGCCCCAACATATCTACCACCGTACCTGTAATAGATTTAGAGAAGACCGCAGATGCACACACCAGTATTCCAAGATATGTCGCAAATGGGGTTGATATTGATGGTCATGATATTAAATCATTGAATGCGGGTGTAATGATGAATGACAAAATTGTAAAAGTGTTGATGAGGTAAATAGTTTAAAGCACACATATAGCTATGTTCTGGGCCTTCATTTTTTCTCACACATTTTTTCTTTGTTATCAGTGACCACTTGTGCCCATTCCCTATCATTGACTACTTATTTTACTCAATCCTCACTGGTGAGCAAGATGGAGTACATAAAACAACATGGTAATTGAAAATTAAATCTTATTAAAAATTTCTTTGATTGCACCAACTTGACCCTTAATCAGTACTTATTTCTTTCCTAGTAAGTGTTGTTAAATGTCCAATCAAAAGCTCTTTGTTTGGTAATAGTATTGTACATGAGTTAAATCAGTAAGAAAATTTTCAATTTAAGGGAACAAAAATTTGAAGGAGCAAGAAAATATTTAACACCAGAGGAATATAAAGAAGATTATGTAGTTATACCTATTGTTCGCAGGTACACAATGTATTAGGCACTGTATATTTTGTAATATGTCAACAATTTTTAACACTGTTTTTTTTAAATTTTCTTACAGATATCATTGGCTTTTGATGATCATCACTCCATGGTACAAAACTAATTTTTCCCATATCTTTGAAAACTTCAAATTTGATAACCTAATGCAAATGCTGAAAGCTCAACATCTTGTAGGCATATATTGGTTCTGGACTCATTAACACATGACTTGGCAACCAGATCAAAAGAGATTTATCTTGTTACAAGGTGCAGTATTTTGTACATGTTGTTCATGTATTACAAAGTGTTCATTTAATTTACAAAAATTATTGCTAACTGTTTACAAATAATCCACCTATTTAGATATCTTGACAATATGTGTTCATTGAACAACACTGAGAAGAAACATACAAATTGTACACAGGCAATTTTAAAGGTACGGTACAAAAAGTTATTTAAAAAAAGCGAACTGGTTTTAGGAGAAATAATTATGTAAATGTTGATCTTATTAAACCTCGATCAAACTTAAGTACATTTTATTTAGGTTCCAATGCAGCATCCTGCAAGCAATGATTGTGGTATTTTTGTATCACTGTTTGTTAAACACTTTTTTGAGGTACAATGTTTGGTATGACATTTTCAATATGCTGTAAAGGAAACTTAACATGATAATAAAGAACTAAATTTTATCTTTTAGGACCTTGATGCCTATGAGGCAGACCCAACTGGTTATGTAGGGGATAACCATGCCTGGTTTACCTCTATTGAGGCCCAGAAACACAGATCGCAAGAAAAAAGGAAATGGAATACACTGTACAATTTACATTGCATTAAATATATATAATTAAACTTTAATTATTCTTGGTTGTAAATTTACAATAGCAGCACAGACTCTCACAATCGAGGTAACATAAGACTTGAATGTCAATGGAATGACTCCTCTCAGAACACTAAAGCACTTTAATTTCCGGATGATTCTTTCCACATGTGCTCTGGATGTGGCCACTCTTCTGGTTGCTGTAGAGGCACGCGATGAGACGTTTTTACTTGACATGACAGGAGGGGCTATTAGGGTTGCACTCTTTATGGCTAAAAGATCTTGAATGTTAAACCCCTTATCAGCCATTATCGTATCTCCAGGTTCAATATAGTCAAGAAAACCACTTTGCTGGATTTCCTTATCGCTTATTGCACCAGTATACAATTTTGACACAAAGTTAATATGGCAAAGTGGTGATAGAGAAACTAATAACTTAAAGGTGTTGTGTGACTTATACGTGCTGAACGTTCTGCGTTGACTGGATGGCAGAGATGGCTTCTCAATGTACAGTTCTGTGCAATCAACAATGCTTCGTAGATTCAAGTACTTTGACTTTCTGAAAACTTTTGGACGTTTTACTCCTTCCATATCAGCCAATGTTGAGAAATTTAATAAGAATTTGAGTTCTTTCTCCAAGAAAAGAACCCATGTTACAAACACCTTACTGCCAGATCCAACAGAAATTCCAAATACGTAACACAAAGAAGCTAGAGTAGGCCGTCTTCGTAGTCTTATTAGTGTAAAAATTAGCTGCTCTCTTATTGTGAGATTAGCCATCTTTACCTCTTGCTAAATAATGAAAAAGATATATATATATATATATATAATTATATATATATATATATATATATATATATATATATATATATGGAAATTATGTTTCAGGTTAAATCATACACTGAGGATTGCTTTGTTAACTCATTAACTGACAGTAACTTAAGGATTATAATAGTTAAACATATTACCTCCTCTGAATATTTCCTTCTTACACCACTTTTCTTTCCTGTCTTTTTAAAGCCTGACCACATTTTCAATGATGTTGCTTTTTCTTTTACGTTTTCAAACAAAACATCAAGGTATTCCTTTTGCAAACCTTCAAATGAGGAAAATGCATAACTCTTCACCCAACTGTAATGAGAAGAATTGCATAAAAAACCACTACAAACCTGTAAGGTGGTAGGTTTTATCTGGGTTATCCACTAGAGCAATAAATAAATGCCTTCGCAGAGTTTTCGAGCTTTTCAACATCTCATCAGAATAGGCTTTAAGATCAGTGGCCATGATATTTGTCTGAAAATAAGTTTTGAATTAAAATCATGTTCATGAAAAAATAAGTAACAGAAATCTGATATTTCAATATATAACATAAGCATCAGCTAAACTCTGTGGCTAAACCTAAACGAAATTAGTTAACAAATTTACCTGTATGGCTTTGTCACTGTACTGCTGTGTCGTATTATTTTCATACAGTGGTGATGGCAGTTGTACTTGTTTAACTTGTGGTTTAGATTTGCAAGATTGATGCAACATTAGTAAACCTTCGCATGCCAATATGTCATCGTCAACTTCTTGTGAACAAGCTAGGTTTGAATGCAATATTTCAGAGTCAACTTCAGTTTTGCACGTTTTTTTTCTTTTAAGACAGTGCCTGAGCGCTGTTTAGGAGCTTTACGTTTGCGATGAAGCCTTTCAACCTGCACAGATAGAAAATTAATATTTATTATCTCGTTGCTATGAAACCCAAAATCAAGCGAAGCATGACATGCAGTATAAACACTAACTAGCTATTATAATAAAATGCGCACAGTATACTTTCAACAAACCTTTTCCTTGCTCGTTATAGCTGATATTGGATCTGGATGTTCAGGCGTTGGACCATTTTCTCCAACGAAATGCAAGCTACAGATATAACTGTCTTTCTTGCATTCGAATGTGTCCCCACGATGACACGCAACGATCCACCGCTTTCTTCTTTCTGCTGCTTCTTTCCAGCGCTTTGGCGCCGGAAAACGAAAGAATGTTATAGGATCCCCATTCTTGTTTTTATTTTGTAAATGTGGTAACCGTGAATCGTTTCTACAAGTCCCCCACGCGCATCGCTTCACCATGTTTTCTATAATGTTGCTATATACAAGAAGGCCGAAGTGTCCGCATTTCGGAATTTTGACCACATGATACTACACGTGTTTCTGGCGGCGAAGTCGCGAATTGGTCTGACGAAGAACTCGTTGAAAAAGGTCCTCGGAAAAGCGAATGTCAGCTTAGAAGAACTCCAAACGATCTCCACCGAAACGGAAGCAATCCTCAATGATCGCCCTCTAACACACATGTCATCAGAACTCAACGACGAAGGACCACTAACACCGTCACATCTACTCTATGGTCGGAGAATCACCACATTACCCCACCTACTCTGCGAAGACGACGAGATCGATGACCCTACCTACGAACCCGAACCCAGCAACATCGACACGCAAGGAAAACGTAGATCCCACCTAATCCAACACTTTTGGAAACGTTGGCGCCAAGAATACTTGACGAGCCTACGCGAGTTCCACAGAACAACTGGAAACAACACAACCGAGATATGTGTTGGTGATGTAGTTCAAGTACACGACGACACGAAACGCATTAACTGGAGACTCGCTGTAGTAGAAAGTTTGATCAAAGGAGGAGATGGACTAGTACGAGCAGCAAATATTAAGACGAGCACTGGTCGCACCAACAGACCAATCACCAAACTCTACCCACTCGAAGTTAGGTCTAACTCCACAGCAACAGAAGAAACACAGACCACCTTCGACAAGGATCTCGATGAAGAGAATCCCTCAACAAATCCACAACCACATGACGTTACCGGCGGAAAGTCAAGCAGACCTGTACGAGCAAAAGCACAACAGGCAAAGGAGAAATTGAAACATTGGACATCCATACTCTCGCGCCCCCCGGAGGATGTCATGAATTGACAGTATATTGACACTTACACTTAATTACACTATATCGCACATGATTGGTTATAGTTACGAAAAGATTGAATTACACTCGCACTAGAGGTAACGGGGACATTGGGAATATTTTAGATATAACACTCTTGTATATAGTTCGGATTCACTTGTCTTTGAGCTTGTGCGTTCTTTGTATAAACAATATATATTCGAAACTATGGTGTAGATCGTCTATGATTTTATCGAAAGAACCTACGCATTCTTAAGATCTCGTTATCGTCGTACTAATTGACACAACGCAAGTCTCGGTATTTCGAGTGACGAACGAGACAGTGATCACAGGAACTAACGCATACAAAATCGTCTGGACAGAGTGCTCAATGTTTACAAACAGCAATATTACACAGGATGAGAAACACCAGTTGCTTCATCGAATTTTATTTACTACAGAACTGTTTTGTATGACAAGCGTTTAGCTGCCACACTCATCAGGTAAATAATATATGATTACAATGGCACAACTACTATATGCAAAAGACCGACAATTAATTTGGTCATATTACATGTAGTTGGTTACTAGGTGTTACTTAGCAAAAACGTCTTTCGATGCCGGGATGTGGAAACAAGTTCATTACGCTTGTACAAAGAGCTTAATTCAGGATGACATGATGATAAATTTCTCGGATAGGCATAAATTACAGCGTTTAGTCTTATTACAGTACGGTTGTGATTTCTTAACGACTTTCCAACTGACAGTGCACGGTGTATTAGGGTCCTTTAATTTCGGAATATGTTTGCTTAGTTTGGTGGCGTTTTTCTTTGATTTATTGCGGATAGAGCAAGTATGGTTGAGGTAGCGTGTCTTAAATGTGTTTCTCAGTAAGGCCAACGTAGGTTTGGGATTCTTTTGTGCTTTCATTCTTCACTGTCGCTTGGTACACTATGGCTTTTGTTAGGCATTCGCCTTTCAGGGGACAGGAATCGTTTGCCCGCCAGTTGCAATTCTTTTCTTTGTCGGTTTGTTGGGGGGGGGGGTGCTATTTTTGAAAAAAATATATTGCAATTTAGGCCTCGGAAAGCGATCTTGTGGTTGGAGTTGTATGTGGTTGTGGGGTTGGGTTTTAAGGTTGGGGGTTAGGGTTCCCCTTACGGTCCGGGTTAGGGTCTCGTTTGAAAAATGGGTTGTGTGGTTTGTGTTTCCACATTGTGGGAAGCACAGGAAAGGGATGGTGGAAGCACTGGTGAGGATAGGGGGGAGAGTTTGGTGGATCCGGGGGATCAAGAGGGGTAGTGGTGGATTGTTTCAATTGTTGCAAATGGCGGTCAGTTTAATGACGTATTGTGTATTCTAAGTATATAATTAAGAGTTCCCTTTGGAGAACGTTCGGAGCGATATTTCAACTCATGTGTGTGTTTGTTTCAAGGTGGATTGTGGAATTATAATTGGTGTGAAATGTATGTGGTGACGAAACTGTATCAAAGTTGTGATTGAAGAGAATGAATGTGTGTTGTATTTACAAAAATGCTCGGTGAGCGAATCAAATGAATTATTTACATGATATTGCTATGTGATGGTGGTTGAATATTATGATAACTGTTTGTACAACTGTATGTTTATTGCCGGCATTGTATGGTTTGATTGTCTGCCATCCATATCATTATTGAATGTATTTTTGTGTACATATTTTTGGTACATATTGTTTGTTTATGTGATTCTAAATGTTTATTTGTGGCAAGGTTGTTTGCAATTTTTGTTGTGATTTTCTTGTGATGGATGTGAACAAATTGCACCTGAAATTGCAGCAAAAAGTGCAAGTGTAAACAAGCCTTAATTCAGTATACTGTCTACAAGTTCCAACTTTCACTACAAGCAAGACATAACCAATTTTCCAGACTGGACAAATTGCATTAAATTTTCCAAATTTGCCAGAGCAAATTGCATGAAACCAATTGTTACAATCATCACAGAATACCCACGTTATATTGTCATCATCATTGTCATCTTGTGTCTCAGGAGGGTTTTCTTTTCCACATTCAAAACAAACATCTTTCTTATTGCTTGTCAGTTGTGCATCAACCATTGGTTGAGCTCTATTTTCGTTCCTCTCTTGTTATACAACTGTTTGTTTACCCAACTGTTTGTTTACCTTAAAATTTATATTTTCATATATACTGTTCGCTGAATTGATGAACTGTCTATAATATCACATATCTTCAAATGTGCTGGAAGAGAAATTTTGTTAATGAAGCAGTGCGTTTGGAGATAACCTATCTCCGATTACAACTTGTGGGTGATGTATTTTTTAGGAATATTGTTACTCCCCTGAGAATTTGGAACATCGTCAGTCTTGAGGACCTATATTCATGTACGACATATGAAAGGAAAACGTAAAATCAGACGTGGTTTTCGTGAAAATTACTTATTTGCATAATATACTGTAGTAAGTCTATTCTACCTATATAATTATAGGGTGTTGGAAAAAGCGACCTAAACATAGGATATCGCAAAAATAATGAACAAACCCCCCTGAGAATTTGGAACATTGTTAGTCTTGAGGACCTATATTTATGTACAAAATATGAAAGGAAAACGTAAAATCAGATGTGGTTTTCATGAAAATTACTTATTTGCATAATATACTGTAGTAAGTCTATTGTACTTATATAATTATAGGGTGCCGGAAAAAGCAACCATACGATATCGCATAAATAATGAATGAGCCCCCCTGAAAATTTTGAGCATCGTTAGTCTTGGGGACCTATATTCATGTACGGAATATGAAAGGAAAATGTTCAATCAGATGGGTTTGTTGTGAAAATTACTTATTTGCATAATATATTGTGTGTATAAGAAAGTAGAAGATTTTCAATGTCCTGAAAACAAGCATTTACGTATCTAAAAAGTGTATTTACGCCTCTTCTGCCAAGCAGTAAAAATATTTGGAAAAATTGAACATGAAAAGCGTGGAGACTGGATAAGAATAGTTTATGAAAGCATCATTTTCAACATTTTTACTCCTATACTATATAAGCTTATCTATCTATCTATCTAGAGACACAGGAGAAGAAAATGTTCTAAATTTCAGTGAGGTTCGTCATTACTACTGTATCCTAAGTTAGGTTCACTCTTTCCAGCACCCTATAGAATTACTATATATATTTTATATTACACACTTAATGTATGCTCAAGAGGGAAATAGTGAGTTTTGTTTTCCCAAGAGTCTGAATGTTGAGACTCAAGGAAAAATAAGACTCACTATTTCCCGGGGTGAAGCGTACATTAAGTGTTTTGTTATATAGGAACAAAAACATACATGTTACACGACAAGCTAATTTCAAAAAACTTTGTTATGACAATATGTGGCAACAATTTTCACTTGTTTCTCTGGCGGAAAACATTGCATTTATTCAAAGTCATGTGACTAGAAATGAACCAATCACATTTAAAATAGACAGCACCTATATAACAATACAGTATAGAATTCATTAAGTTTGCTCCTATACATGTGCGTACCATTCTACTTTCTAGATAGCCCAACTCCTGTATACCGTGAGTTAGATTCGAACCAATTATTATTCCACCAGGCACAGATTTTTCTATACCAGAAATATTTTGGCACCATAACTGGCTTTTTCTATACTATTTTATTTCATATAAGTAAACCCTATATACATGAATATTTATTTAATTCAATATTATTTTAATACAATTGGCAATATCATTAGCTCTATAAAATGCCCATATTGTTACGTTTTATATATGTGACAAAAACATGATCCTTCAGTTAGCTAAACTTAGAAATGCTTGAAAAAACCTCCCAGTAAGAACTCCGTCTACTAAACTTAGAGATTATGAAAATCAATATCTAAAGCGAGAAAATCAAACTAAAAGTTTATGCAAGAGATATATTATCACAGTGTGAAGACATAGTCACTTGGTTTGCATTGCTTGGTTTGCATTCAAAGGAGAATAGCGTTACCCACACCCTTAGTATTTCTAAATTGAGGATTCGATTTAACAACTGTTTTCTCCAAATCTGGCGTTTTTCTTTTCCTGCATTTTTAAAACAGTTAGAAAAACACTATAGGGTGGTAGCGCCATCCAACTTTCGTACAACCAGCCCCTGCTGATGTCTATGAATCTGTGGTTTAGCATGGTGCTTAGACATGCAAACTATAACAATAGATATATGGTGTCCCCTTTCGGGTCACCTTTACCTTTACCTTTACAGGGTGTATAACGAAGGCGAAACTTAATATTCATGTATATCCCCTAACAATACAAAGACAATTGGGTCCTTCCTTGGAATTTGAGGCTTGTAATAGCATGAGTTTTAGCAGTTTAATTGTACAATTAGAACCATTTTAAATTCGCAGAGACCTAATATCTATCTTGTTTAAGAACAATATAACTTTAGAATATTTCAGAAAGTTATTTCACGTCTCGTTTAATCTTGGCTAAGGGGGATTATGCAAGCAGGTGGACAAATGGACTTTTTGCATAATATAACACCTTTTGATGTAGGTGCCAAAAAGGGAATTTCCGAAAAGTAGATACAAAGTTAGTCCACATGATTGTATAAATAATGATTCTACAAGTTCTCAACTAGATTTTTAGTTTTTATTTCATATTGAACGTATCTGTGGGGGCAGAGTTTTTACTGTAATGGATCAGACGTAACATGCTGTCGAACAGCGACGTGATATAGTCCGACTGTAATAAACGTGATAAAGCAAGGATTTGCAAGTTTTGAGGCGTTGCCAGCCAGGCGGTTCAGTAAACTCTACCGCATGTTATGTCTAATCTATTACAGTTTGATTGATAATTGTAAATCTGGGTTGTTTACATATCGCCTGCTCATCAAAACAACTACTTTTGTGGTGCTGTCATTGCACTCAGAAAACTATGAAACATGTAAGATATTCTCGTTTTGTGAAAAAAGCACTCAATTGCACTCAATGCAGCATTCAATTCAACATGAGACACAAAGCCAAGTTAAATGTATGCAGTTTGCTGATTC